AAGTAACTGAAAAACGAGGTAAATTACTTGTTTTGTAATTTATTCTAGTAGAATTTTTGATTTTTAAGGTACGGCTGGTGATCCAATTAATATCATAGCAAATTACATAAAAATCTTAACAAAACCTCAATGGGAACTTTTTCAATATCATATAGAATTTATACCAGATATTGAAAATAAACGTTTTCGACGCGAAATCATTAGTCAACATCGTGTAAGACATTTTCAATATATATATGTATTTTTTTTTGAATTTGAACTTTAATTCTAGACAATATTTAAAGATGTAGCATTTGATGGTACAACAATATATACTTTTGATGATCTTGGCGATTTACAAGAAATTGTTTGTCAACATCCATCAACATCGGATGAAGTGAAAGTTATTCTACGAAAAGTAGCTAAAAATTCACCTGATTCACCAGTTTTTTTTCATATGGCAAATCTTATTGTACGAAAGTATGTTTTATTTTTAGTGTATCTATCAATAATTTTATTTGATTAATTTATATTTAGATTACTTGAATTATCTGGCATGAAATTAAGTTCGTTTTTATTTTTGTTTTTTTTTGAATTAGAATTTTTTTTCATTTCTAATTTAGTTGGCCGAAATTATTATCAATTTGATCGTAAAATTGATCTTGATCGATATAAATTAACATTATTTCCAGGTTTTATGACAAATGTTAATATTTATGAAGGATCTTTAATGATTAATGTGGATTTATCTCATAAGGTTTTTTGTGTTTTGTAATCATTCTATTTAAGACTAATTTCTTTTCCAGGTTTTAAATAAAACTACTGTATATCAACGTTTACAAGATATATTTAGCCAATATCAAGATGTTAAACATGCGCAAGATACTTCAACGAAAGAGTTAGTTGGTCAGGTAAGACAACTATTTTACATTCAATATTTTTTTCCAACTAGAAAAACAACGTACATAAATTCTTAATATTAATATTTTTATTAGATTGTGCTTACAACATATAATTCAAAAACATATAAAATCGATGAAATAGCATGGGAACGTTCTCCATCACAATCATTTCCAATGCGTGATGGTTCACAATGTTCATTTATTAAATATTACTTAGATGTATATTTATTTATTTTTATTTATATAATAATAATAATAATTTTTCTATAGAAATATCAAGTAAAAATTATTGATCCTAATCAACCTCTCTTAGTCAGTAAACCGTCGAAAAAAGATCGTCGAGCTGGTGTAACATCACCATTTTTACTTGTACCTGAATTATGTTGTGTTACTGGTAAAAAATATTTATTTGTTGTTTGTATTTATTTTATCAATAATATATTTGCTAGGTATTAGTGATGTCATGCGTTCAGATTTTCAATTTATGAAAGAAATGGCGAGTTACACACATGTTGATGCACCTACTCGTTATAATCGTCTTCGACAATTTGTTACTGATATACATCAGTATGTTTAAATAAGCTTATATTAGAGATATGTCAGTGTCGATATACCGACACTGATTGCTACTAAAACGACTAACATATTGATATTGATCTTGATTCAATACATAATTCGTATAAAAGGTATATATATATGCATAGTATAGTAATGCTTAGCTATATATTAAGTAACTATGCAGCTATGTTGAACATTTCAAAAACAAAAAACCGATGCTTTACTATCAAATTTTAAAATAAATGGTGATGTAGATCGAGTAAGACATAATTAGAAGACGTATGACACTTTTTTGAATGCATAGATATACTCGTTCTACTATTTTAGTTAATGATAATAGATAGAAGTATTAGAATAAACAACTTGACAGAGTCAATGCTCTGATGCTTCATGTATTGACAATGCTAAATCTATATTAATGTATTTTTATTTTTCAATTATAGAAATCCTGAGTGTCAAGATGAATTAGGCAAATGGAATATAAAACTCGATACGGATCTGGTTAAATTCGAGGGACGACTTCTTGACGCTGAACAGATATTATATTTTGATGTAAATTTTATTATTTATTTACTTAAGTTAATTTTAATTTTTATAGCGTAATATTCGATACAACTATAATGAAGCAGGTAGAGAAAAAATGACCTCTATAAAAAATTTACAAAAATTGCTAATTAACTTTATTATTTTCATAAATAGATTGGAGTCGTGAAGGTCGTTCTATGCGTCATATTAGTGCAAAATCTCTTTTACATTGGATTGTAGTATTTCCAACAAAAGAAGAACAAATTGCATCAGGATTAATTGATGCACTTCTTCAAGTTTGCAAACCATTCGGTAAGATATTTTTCTCTATTATATTAATACAATTAATTACCTTGTATATTCAAATAGGAATGCATGTTGAATATCCTACTATGTAAGTTATTTTCTTATATAAAAATAGAAATAAATTCTTTTTCTTTAGACAACAATTAGATAATGATCGACCTGAATCTTATCTTCAAGCATTAAAATATTCGATATCACATAATACAGATCTTGTATTATGTGTATTAAGTAATGGTCGAAAAGATCGTTATGATGCATTAAAAAAATATCTGTGTCTTGATAATCCAGTACCATCACAAGTATAAAACTTGAATTAGATTTCTTACAATTAAATTCATTGTCTATTATTTTTAGATGGTTCTTACAAAAACATTAACACGACGCAATCAATTGATGTCTGTTGCAACGAAAATTGGTATACAAATCAATGCGAAATTAGGTGGTGAAGTATGGGGTGTACAAATTCCAACAAAAACTTTAATGGTTATTGGAATGGATTCATATCATGGTAATTAATAAAATTTCTATAAAAAAAAATGTTATAGATAAGCTCTTCGAATACTTACACGTAGACGTTTAAATAGAAAATAGTCTATCTATGTTAGGTACTTTACTATGATAAAATGCAGACATTCAGTTTATTATTAATGAAATATCTCTTCATAAATACAGAAAGAAATCTAATTTTAGCAACTAGAAAAAAGACAGATATGTAATTAAATATTTAATTTAATAAGTTATTTAAAGACAGCTACAGAAATATTAAATCTGAGCAGATTGTTGGGTGTAGTTCTTTTAGTTTTGTTGTACTATTGATAAAATGTTATTTAGATTCTAAACGTCGAGGTGCATCTGTAGGTGCATTTGTTGCATCAACAAATCCATCATTAACAAAATTCTATTCACGTGTTATTTATCAACGAACAGCACAAGAACTTATGGATGGTTTAGCTGTTTGTATGAACGGTAAAAACGAATAAAAAATTACTTAGTAAATGATTGATTTATTTCCATATGTAGATGCATTAAAAGAATATCATAGAAATAATAATAGTTTACCAGAAAAGAGTAAGTTAATTTTATAGATCAAAATATTAACTTGGATTGTTTTTTATTTATTAGTTGTTATTTATCGTGATGGTGTAAGTGATGGTCAATTAGCAGTAGTTGCTGAACATGAATTACCACAAATAATTGAAACATTTCCAAAGATTATGCCTGGTTATGAACCAAAACTTGCTGTTGTTATTGTTAAGAAGCGTGGTAATGCTCGATTTTTTCAAGTAGATGGTCGAAATATTCAAAATCCTCATCCAGGAACTATTATTGATCATACTGTTACCAGTGTAAATTAATAAAACTCTAAAATAAGAAGAATTTTCTACTATTGTTTTATTATTATTAAGGCTGAATGGTATGATTTTTATTTAATCTCACAATGTGCTCGACAAGGAACAGTTGCACCAACACATTACAAGTAAATTTCTTTATCTCTTAGTAATAATAATAATTTGACATGAAAATATTCTTTTAGTGTTATTTGGGATCGAACAAATTTTAAAGTCGATCATATGCAACGATTAACATATAAATTGTAATTTCTCATTTGTAATTTTTGTTTAAGACTTTTAAATAAAAATGTTTTTTTTAGATGTCATTTATATTATAATTGGCCAGGAACCATTCGAGTACCAGGTAATATTTATATTCTAATAATTTTCTTATTTTGTTTTCTTTTATTGAAATTTTTTAGCTGTTTGTCAATACGCACATAAATTAGCATTTTTAGTTGGTCAAAGTCTTCATCAAGATTTTAGTGTTACACTGGCAAATAAACTTTTTTATTTATAGAAAATCTCGTTCTTAAACATTCGTTTTGTTTATTAAATTCAAATATTTCTTTCATAGTTTTCATGTTAAATCGATAGAATTAATTTTTTTTAATTGCTCATTAATCTTCCTGAAATGTACAGTTAAATTTTTTGTTTTGTTCTTTTTTTTATTATTTCTAATTCTTTTCACATAAAGAAAAAATTATGTGTTTAACATTGAAATATTCCAATGATTATTAGATGGTATTAAAACTAATATTTTAGATGAAATGAATCTATTAAAAATTATTCATTGTACAATTAATCCACAGAAATATTCATTTATTCCTGTGAGAATATGTTTAGGATATATGAGACAAATTCGTTTACAAACAACAGATATTCCACCGAAAGAGAATTCATCAGATGATGTTAGTACAAAAGTAAAACCAACGAAACAAAGTAATCTTATGGAATTTTTTGATACAACTGAGAATTTATATGAATCAAAAATTATTCATGGTAAGTTACAATTCAATGAATTTATTTTTAAATAAAATTAAAAATTTCATATAGGACGTTGGTGGTATATAGATGAATTACGTTTAAAAAGTAATGAAGATTTACATAAATTATGGTATGTTCTTTTGAAAGAACGTAATCGTTTATTAACTATGGAAGAAGAATATCGACATCAACATGAATTATTTCCTAGTCCCGAACGTATTGATAAAGTAAAATATTTGAATTTTCTTTATTTTTTAATGAATATAAAGATAATTGAAAATTATATTTAGGTTGAAGAAAGTATGCGTAATATACTAAGTGTTGTACGAGAACGTGATATGGCTTATAATCTATTGGAAACAGGTAAAACTGGTGAACAAACTCCACAAATACGGTATGAATAATTAAAATTTACTTCTCAATTATTTTATAGTTACATTTTAGTGAAACAAGTTTTGGTCTTTTACGATATTATAAACCAAAAGAACGTATTGTACCTTTTTATAAAAATCGTTATTATCAATTATTGTGGGGAAAACGTAAAGCAGAAGTATGTATTTATAAATATTTCTAAATTAAATGCTTATTGAATTTCTTTTAGGCATGGACAAGTATTTTCAAACGACGTTATAATGAATTTCAAGAACATCAAGAACATCAAGAAACAAATCGTATTAGAAAAATTGTTGCTAATGTTATACAAAAATATCCACATTTACGTAATGAAGAAGGACGTGTTATGGAAGATTATAAGCAACGTTATGACTTCGAACATTATTCGATACCTAAACGCTTAGCTCGACGACCAAAATTACGTGCTCATCAAACAGTATGGAATGA